ATATATATATATATCTTAATGCCAGGTGGATCACTGACTGACATTTGTACCCATGCTCCGTTAATTACACACAAGGCTGCACCAGAGCCAAGAGTAAAATGAAAAGGTTTCCAGAGGCTCCCATCAATATTGAGCAATGTGTGTGCCTTGGCAAAGGACATCCATAGAAAGAAGATATCTACCTCCTAACCCAGCCCCACTCCCTCATCCTCACTTCTGCTTACGACTGAAAGGAGAGATCGCTGTACAAGCAGAGCCACGCACTCCTGCCAAAGGGCCTTTCCATCCTCTGTTGTCACGATCTGGTATTTATTCCTACCTCTTCCAACTGTGTTGTCCGAGATCCTTCAGCTTAAATCCAAGTAAGCCAGTCCTTTGGGAGACTTCAGAGGTGGCTGATAGTTCAGGCCTTTCAGAGGAGAACAGACTGTTGCGGATACTCTTCCTGGTACTAATCAATATTTGCCCTTGGGATAAGGTGAGCTTTAATGGCACAGAAAAAATACACTCTTCATTGTCTTTTTATGACATGTTAGAGTTAAGTGGCATCTATTTTTTGTATTGCTTTTTAAACTTGTGTGTGTGCATAGCACTCATTTCTGAGCAATTCAAAACATGCTGTCATTTATCTTTCCAACACCAATGTCAAGGTGGGCTTTCAGATGCCAGCTGCTAATAAGCAGATGTTTCTTATTAAAGGAGAATCCAGTCACAGGGGTGGTTGTGATGTGAAGGCCACCTACAGGGTTGGGCCTGGAAGATGGCTGGCAGTGGGTTCTGAATCTGGGGAGGAATGGCCTTCATGAGCACCCAGAAGAGGAGAGAGAATGACCCTTCCTGGTAGGGCATCCAGCAAAACAAGAGAACAACTTCTAGCATCTGAATTGTAGCAGAAAATGGGAGAAGTATAGAATGTGCTCTTGGCCCCACCTGTTTCAGAATGAGCTAGGATTTAAATGCAGTAAGTAATTCAGCACCACGAACCTGAATTTCATGTTCTAGGACTGGTTAGGAAACAATAACAAACTGAAATTCTCTCCTCAAAGCCCAAACCAAACCCAATGTATTGAGTCGTTTCCAACTCACCACTCTACTAATGCTTAGCAATTTCTGTGACAGTGAGCTTGAAGATTCAGTGTGGAATATCAGGTTGAAATGTATACAACGCTCGCTATCTTCCCTCTGTAGTTAATTTCTAAATTAGCTTTAATTTAATTCTAGACTTAACACATAAAGTTTGTGCTGTTAAAATTCAGGTAACACAACTTTAATTTTCATGTAAGAAAACCAAAGCTGAAGTTTTTAAGGTAGCAGATGGACATTGGGCCTCCACTCAAGTACTCCCTCGATGCAAGAACACTTTGTTCTATTAAACTGGCATTCCATGATGCTCACCT